ATACCAACAGAGGAACACATGGGGGTGGGGAGGACTTTAAAGGAACAGTCATATGTGGAAATCCAGAGATGGGAGAAATCCAGAGATGCTGTGTGTCTCCAACATCTTCTTAGAACATGCCTAAGTAACTGCTCCTGTTGCCCCAGCCAAGTCAGCCACCTCCAGAAGGTGACAGTCTCTTGCCCTTGCACAGAGAAGGCAGCCAGCTGACATTTGTCAGGTTAAACTGAATTCTGTTCTCTTAATTACTAAGCATCCTTATTTTCCCACTTCAGAGAACAGAGGAAAGATGGCCACTTAGGCTGTCAGCAGACTGAAATGACAGTGCTAATGGGCCCCCACTGGAGGGCTGAGCCAGGGGAGAATCCTCCCTGGGGAGGGGGAGCAAATCCTGGGAGGTCTGGTCGGCCCTGAGTCCCAGGAGCAGGGGGTTGGGGAGGGCGGGGGCTGCCTCCCTGATGGCTGCCTTATCCAAAAGCCAAGTGTCATGGCAGCAGCAACGTTGGCATTCTCTCAGGGTCCCCTATCACAGGAACTGGCCAGTTAAGAACTGAGTGGCCATCTGACAGGAAGTCACACTCTTTAGATAATTCCCTCTTTTCCTGTAGCCTGTGGCTACAGTGTTGGGAGGCTGAAGGCCCCAGAGGCAAGTCTAGTGAGGGGAATAAAGGAGAGATATGCTCATGTTTTTATTTCCTTCATTTCTCTGGACTGTATGCCAAACTGCAGACACAAACACAACCCCCTCCTATTCACTGCTGTGTCTCTCAGGGTTTTGACAGTCTTCAGACATCAACTTTCAGACTGACAGACAATTGCTGATTGAAACTATGGGTTCTGAGATAACTGTGGACAAAAGGAGGCTGTCTTCTCCTGCTTATGTCCCCAGCTCAGACTTCCTGATCCCTGTGACAGGGTCCCTAGGGGGCTGCCTGTCCACACAGAATGTGGCCAGAGGCCTTCACTTAAGGGAATCTAGTGGTTGTGTTTTTCACTGGATTCTGAGGCAGCCACCAGGCCTCTGACACCTTCAAAGAACACAGCCCCTGCAGCCCCTTCCAGCCCTCCTGCCCCCACTTCCATCACCACCTGGATCCTTCCTACTTTCCTCAGTGGAGAGTATTTTTAGACTCTATTGCTGGAGTGCGGACGGTGGGGTGGCGAGGCACGGCCAGGCTGAGGTTGTTCTACCAGGGTGATTCCATTCCTGTTCCTCAAAACAATAAGGGAAAGCCTGAGGGAGACTGTAGAGGGAGAGCAGCATTCTTGTCTTCTCAGTGAATGAGACTTCATGTGAGGAAAGAGAGAGGAACATGAGCAACAAAACCAGCCAAGGAAACCTTAGGGGCGAAGTGAAAGGTGGCAGTGGAGAAGCCTGTAATATCAAGGAGCACTGGGAGGTTGTAACCAGGGTTTTCTGCTCCCTGTGTCTTTCTCAGTTGGCCTACCAGGGAGACTAGCCCTACCCAGAGGATCAGACACCATGTTGGGGTGGGGGGGGTGATCCACCGAGCCCTTGTACCTGAGTCGGGTGCAGAGTCCTAGAACCATGATGCCCATGCATAATTCATGCACTGGGCTTGGTCTCGGGGAACACAGAAGACATTCTTCTTCCAGCTTTCTGAGTGTCAGGACCCTCTGGAATACACGGGCCCGCGGGATTGTTTTTCTGGGGGGGTTGGTGACAGGGTGGCTGTGGATGTCTAGAGGGCAGCCTAAAGACACAAGAAACCTTGATGAGGGACAGGTTTGAGTGTAGGGTGGGGTACCAGTGGATTGTCTTCACAGTTGGCCATGGGGGGCTGAAGATGGCAAATATATACCACTGGAAGTGCCACTTTTGTCCAAATCTGTGACCAGCACTCAAGGAAGGGAACTGGGGGACAGTGAGCTAGGGACAGGTGACATGACAGGACAAGCTCCATTACCCATTTCCCTCAGGGCACAGAAGACTTTAGAAAAGCCATTTTAAGCGTTGGGTATGTGGTTCAATGGTAGAGCATCTGCCTAGCATGTGCGAGGCAAAAAAAGTCTGAGTGCCCTAAATTTATTCATTGGTCCACCCTGTTGTTACAGAAGCCACACTGTCCAGTAGCTCTGAGTGCCGCTCTTGTCTGTGTTGGATGACCACAACAAAGGTGCAGGCTCCTGAGGAACACTGCAAAGCCTGGAGTGGAAGATCACCAGTCCCCACCTAAAGGATCTTCATCTCCAGCCCCCTGCCTTTCACAGCTGGGTCAGGGGACTGTATCCAGTGTGTCCAGCCTGAATGGGAGCCAGCAAGATCCCTTGAGGCCCCATTCTGCTCAGGCCATCATGAGCCAGTGCACACTGCTGCTGCCAAACCAGCAGGGGGAGGCCTGGGGACATGGGTGTGGGCCACTGTGCTGCATGGGCTGACCTCACAGGCCCAGGGCTGAGAACAGGCAGGCAGGAACTTGGCCCCCATTTTTCAGATAAGGAGGCAGATGCCCATGAATTTACCATACTTGCCTGAGGTTAGAAGCAGTGCAGGGAAAAACTGGGAAGAGCTGGGACCAAGGCAGGTGATGATTAGACAAGAAAGCTTCATTTCTAGCAGCAGATCATGCCCCTTAATTTGGCTGTGCTTGTTCTAAGGGTAAGCTGTACCCCAGCAGGCCCAGCCAAGCCTCAGGGTGAGCTGTGTCTGCAGCCACTGTAAGCCCTGCATAAGGGGTTCAGACTGAGGTGCTCTGTCTTTAGTAAGAGAAAGCCAGTAATCCTTCTCCCGCCAGCAATCCCTGGGAGCGTACAGAGGAGTGTAGCCCCAGAAGGAGAGGCTGTGCGGGGTGGAGGGGAAAGAGGAAAGGGTAGGGGAAGGGGAAGTGTAACCCTAAGTGTGTGTATGTGTGTGTGAGGTGCCAGAGGCCACCCTAGAGGAAACATAGAAAGGGACTCTTCTGTCATCCCTACTCCCTCCCCACCTCAGAACTTCATTGAAAAAATACTTATTGACCATCCATTCTCCATATTCAACTGCTCTACATTCAACTGAGCCTGACTCTTAAGGAATGGAGTGACACAGACAACAGAAAAACCAGCAAAGCTGCACTTGGAGACCATAAAAGAGGGTGATGTGAGAGGGAAAGAGTATCTGTGTGTGTACTTTCAATCAGGTGGCCAGGAGGTTTCTGTGGTGTTTGAGGGTGAATAGGAACTGACTTCTCCAAGAGCCTGGGCAGGACTTTCCAGGCAGACGCCGCAGCTCCTCAGTTGGCCCCTCTTGATCCTCTCTGTCTCGTGACCAACCACCCTGGAGAGCCCTTGTGCCCATTCCACATGGCTTTGTCTGCTCAGCAACCTGGGTCTGGCTGCCTCCCTCTGCCCTTATGGAAACCCACTCCCCGTCCCCTAGCGTGGTCTCCTGTCTCCTCTTGACACCTGCAGACTGTGTCTGACTTTGTCTGCTGATAAGGGTGACTAGCTATGTTAATGTCCTTGTGGAGGAGCTGGGACTGTAGCTCAGTGGCACAGCACTTGCCTAGCATGTGTGAGGCACTAGGCTGGATCCTTAGCACCACATAAAAATAAACAAAGGTATGCTGTTTGTCTATAATTACAAAAAAAAATGTATTTTTAAAATGTCCTTCTGGATTTTTTTTTTTTTTGGTACCAGGGATTGAACCCAGGTACCAAAATTGGTGGCTTAACCACTGAGCCACATTCCTAGCCCTTTTTTATATTTTATTAGAGACAGGGTCTCGCTGAGTTGCTTAGGGCCTTGCTAAATTTTCCGACGCTGGGTTTGAACTTACGATCCTCCTGCCTCAGCCTCCTACGTGGCTGGGATTATAGGCATGCGCCCCCATACCTGGCTTTCCTATGGATTTTTGTGTCCTGTTACCAGGTGCTCTAAAATCAGGTCTGTGCACGGACCAGTTCAGAAACCTTCAATGGCTCCCCACTGCCTACAAGGACCAAGCCTAAGCCCCTCAGCATTCACAGTCCACAGGTGCTACATATCCTCTGGCCTCATCTCCTTCCTGCCCTGCCCACCACAAGCCTGGTCCTAGACAGTCTTCATTATACCCTGCTCCCCATGAGATGGTTTTCCCAACATGCCCCCAAATTCTTTGACACTATGTCTTCAAGAGGTGGGATTTAATTTCCCTACTCTAAAGACTGGAGCTGGTCATTATCTTTTTACGGAATAAGATAGGAGAGATGGTTTGTGACTTCAGAGACTGGATCATTAAGACCTATACTTGGATTTCTGCCAATAGTTAGCAAAAAAATGGAGGCTTCTCACCAATAGCCATGTGGAGGTAACCTCTTAGGAGTGGAGCCTCCAGCCCAAGTCCGGCCTTCAGATGAATGCATACTCATGAGGCCCCAAGCAGACTCACCCAACAAGCTGATTCAGAGTGCTTAGCCCACAGAAACCATGTTATCATAAACAATCTTTTTTTTTTCAAGCTGCTAGGTTTGGGGATAATTTGTTGCAGAGCCAGTAACAATGAAGACACCCCAAATGAGTCAACTGCTCTCTCTGATGCTTCTAGGCTTCTGCACATGCTGTGATGTCTCTCACACTCTGACCTTTCCACCAAGTTCCTCCTCATTCTTCAGGATACAACAAAAATGTCATCTCTTCAGTGGAATCCCTTAAAACCATGTCCACCACCCCAGAGTTGGCCCTTGCCCTATGACCTCACCAACCCTGCACACAGCTCTAACATGCCCCTTCCCACTCCACATTGTCTCAGAGGACTGTTGAGGCCCCCGCACCTGCCTACCTTTGTGGGCAGCATGGGGCCGGGCACCCAGAAGTTTTCTTGAAGCTTCTGTCAACTGTTTAAAGAGCTACTGTTTTGGATTTCACTCCAGTGGGATAAGTATAAATAAAATAAGTATTTCACCATAAATATTTAAGGCCAGAAGCTTCCATTTTTCCCTCTAAATGGTGGGAGAGCATGAGGACTCCGTAGAGGCCCCATCTTACTCTATCCCAACAGACTGGGTGAGGGAAGCCAGCCTACCTGGATCAGAGCAAGCACTTTGTCCTGTACAATGGTGGGAGGGTTATTCTTGGGAGAGATGATTTTGACCAGAACGCTGTCGATGAAGTCTCGGTTGGCCACTAGGATGTGGAAGCGATGGCCACAGTTCTTCACACACGTCTCCAGCACCTGATGTGGGGAGGGAGGCAGGGTCACCACTGTGAGAGCTGGAGAAGACTCCAGGACCTGAGGCGGGCAGCTGGGGTCCCCATCCCCTGTCTTGCTCCTAGATCATCTTTCTGACACGTCTCCTCCAGAGCCAAACCTCCATGCACGCACATTCCCACACTCTAATTCAGCTGTCCCTTCGAGGATGACAGCAGCCCCTTGCTGACTGAAGTCTCCTGTCCCTGCACAATAATCAGGCAATTAGTTGGTAATTGAGGCACCGGTTTTGCATGAGAAGGATGCTGGTGTTTTAATGGGATCAAAATGACTGAGCGGTCCCTGAAAATTAGCATTTTAACTCCTCCCTCTGGGCTTCTGGGTGTGAGGCATTAGCCAGTGAGAGACAGGCTCTGTCACAAGAGGAGGCTGCTGTGACAGCGTAAATTGCCTGGTGAGTTACTGGCCCTTACGTGTGAGGAACCAAACGTGCTCACACCCCCCACATACCCTGCTTCTGCAAACAAAGTTGGCAATGACAAGGGATCTTCTACCCTGACAAATGGTTTGTGGGCCTCAGCTGCTAGTGGCTTTAAGGTACATGTTCAAATCAGACACTGCCTGCTACTCCTTTGTCCAGATGGGTCTATAGGCCTCAGCTGATCAGAAAGACTGGCACACAGGCTCTGACCAGATGGCCCGTGTGGGCTAGACTCAGTTCTGCCACTATCTCCCTATGCAGCCCAGAACAAGTATCTCAGGGCCTCAGCTTCTTCACCTGTCAAGTGGGGACAATGAGTCCTCCCTTGCAGGATGGTTGGGAAGATTAGAGAGAATATGTGTAAAGCGGTTAGCAGTGTCTCATGTGGGGTTGGGGACCAACAGAGACTACAATTACATATGAGTTACAATTCAGAAGACTGCTTACCCACTTGAACAAAGGAACAGCTTCTTGTTCTTCCATAGGATAAGTAGGAACCTCCTTGGAATTCAGAAGTTCTCACAGGAGGACCTCACCATCCTTGAACACAGAGCTCTGCCCCTCTCAGCTCTTTGGAAATCAACCCATAGGATTACCTGGTCCTTTCCATGCCACCCTTACCTCTGGTGCCCAGTCAACTGGCTAAGAAATGCCTCCTTGAAAGGACATCATCAGTGACAGGACATTTCTGACTGCCTTGGTTATTCTCATGTGCCCAAACTCATCTGAGGACAGGTTAACTTACACAGCCATTCCAAGGTCTGGTTCAGACTGCTGGACTTTACCTTGACAAACCATGACTGTAGAAGTTCCAGAACTGTGATGTGGACTGAATACTTGCCACATGCCAGGCACTAGGAGGGATCTCTCCATATCACATGTAATTTCATTCCATTCTCACAACTAATTCGTTCTCTTTAAAGTGGACCTTATTACCCCATATTTTTAAAGTTAAAAGGCTTAGAAAGAGGAAGAGATGGTTCTAGGCCCAATTGTTGGTCAATGTGAGAGGCAACACAGAAACTCAGAACCACTTTCCTAGGAACTCTGGTCTTCCCACTTCCCCAGGGCACTGAACCACCCCAACTACAAGCCCCCTTCCAAGGAGCCACATCAGCTGAGAATCTCTCAGATGACAGGTAATTATATTCCAGATTTCTTCTCCCTTCATTTGTCCCTTGAAATAACCCTATCAGTTGGGTATTTTTCCATTTTAGAGATGAGGAAACTGAGCCTCAGAGTTGTCATGCACCTAGCAGGCCACACTGGGACATTCCACCCCTGGCAGCTCAGCAACCAGCCAGAAATTTTGCTTCCCCCATTTCTCCTGCAGTGCCCACAGGCAGCCTGGGGATCTAGCTCCTCTTCCAAGGAGGACACAGGAAAGACACTCTTCTTGCCTTTAGGGAGCATGTCACTCAGTTCTATTGACAGTAGACCTCAAGGTCAATGTGTCCCAGCCTGGCCTTGAGAACACCCCCAGCAGATGTGTATGTGCTGCAGAGCAGCCCAAAGCCTATCAAGCAGGAGACACAGCAGGTCCTCCTGGGCTGGCAAGAGCCACTTCAGGTCACTTGCCAAAAAGGCCCTGGGAAGATCTGTCCCTCTGGTTTATAAGCCATGAGACACAAGAGGGAATTTTCCAAGGTGCAGCCAAACCCGTGGAGTAAGCCAAAGGGGCCTGACGTGATCGGAAGCAGGCGCTTCCTGTGTATACACAAAGTCCTGAGCAGACAGCCCTTCAGGGTCTCTAGCTCCTATTTTGGGTGAATACTAACAATCTTGGCAGGAACAGACACAAAGGTAGGAAACAAAAACCAAGAGGACAGCCGGCTGTGGTGGTGGACACCCGAGATCCTAGCCATTCGGGAGGCTGAGGCAGAAGGATCACAGGTTTGAGGTCAATCTCAGTAACTTAGCAAGACCCTTAGCAACTTAGTGAGACCCTGTCTCAAAATAAAAAATAAAAAGGGCTAGGCAGCTCAGTGGTAGAGTGCCCCTGGGTTCCATTCCCAGTACCAAAAATACAAAATATAAGAACGAAAGCAGGAAGACTGAGAACAACTAATGGGGCATGTGGAGTCATCAGAGCAGATGTGAGACCATGCAAAATGTGCCATGTGAGGCCCTGGGTACAGGGACAATGACTCTGTACATTCACAGATCTCCTGAAGACATCAATCAATGAGCAGCAAAACCCAAACATTAGGAAAAGTCAGATGATGTTCAGGCCTGTGAAGAAGTTTCAGATACCAGGGAAATGCCCTGACCTGTCAGAGCTCAGCCCCTGGTGGTGTGGGTTATCGACAACTCATTTGGGGCATCACTCCAGGTTTAGTGAACCAGGTTTAGTGACTCAAATTCTGAGAAAAATAAAAGCTTTCAACTCTCTGCTTCTCAACTAGCATTTTCTCCTTTACTGTTCACATCCCAATTCCCTGGCAGAGAGAACTCTCCTAATAAGTTTTGGGGTCTACTTGGGCAATGAATCCAAATAGTTGCTTTAAAAGGAAATATGTTACGGCTGTTTTGGTTAAATAACCCACTATTTCAAACCTACAGAGAAGTCGACATGCTGACCTGTTACAGTTTCTATTCTAAGAACTCACTGTGGCCCAGATTTTGCCACATCTGAAAAACTGTTAGCTTTTAAGACAGAAATAGCAGCTGAAGTCTCCCTTTTAATTCTCTGACATCTTAAGGAGGGCAAAAATCTGGTCCACTCTTCCTGAAAGGAGTCACTTGGTTAACGTTTTCAAGAACCCTTGTAGCTATTTTCAGTTTTTACCCCAAACAAAAGATCATTTTATAATGGCAAACCACAGCTCAATACCTTACTAGCTGTGAAGGCTGGGCCAAACCTCTAGATCTCTCTGAGCCTCAGTCTCCTCATCTGTATGAGGGAGATAATGAAACCCATTTTGGAAACTGCTATAAATGTCTGTATCAGTATCTGAAAGTTTAGCAGTCTAGGGCAGGTACAGGATAGGTGGAAGTGAACCTTTTTAAAATTTTTTCAATACTGGGGATTGAAACCAAGTACTATATCACTGACATACATCCCAAGCCTTTTTAAAAATTCTTATTGCTATGGTTTAAATGTGAGGTGTCCCCCAAAAGCTCACGTGTGAGACAATGCAAGGAGGTTCAGAGGAGAAATGATTGGGTTGTGAGAATCTTAACCCAATCAGTGAATTAATCCCCTGATAGGGATTAACCAAGTGGTAACTGAAGTGGTGGGGTGTGGCTGGAGTAGGCGGGCACTGGGGCATAGCTTTGGGGTATATATATTTGTATCTGGCAAGAGGAAAACTCTCTCTCTGCTTCCTGGTCCCCATGATGTGAGCTGCTTCTCTCTGCCACCCTCTCCCACCATGATGTTCAGCCTCATCTCGAGCCCCGAGGAATGGAACCAGCTTTCTATGGATTAAGACCTCTGACACTGTGAGCCCTCAAATAAACTCTTCCTCCTCTATAATTTGTGCTGGTTGGATCATTTAGTCATAGCAGCGAAAAAGAGGACTAAAACACTTACTTTGAGAACGGTCTCCCTAAGTTGCCCAGTCTGGCCTTGAACTTTCAATCCTATCCTCCTGCTTCAGCTTCCTGAGTAGCTGGACTATAGGAATGCCAGAGCACATGTGAACATTTTATAAAGAGAAAACTGTCACCTACAGTCTCAGAGCAGGCTGGTGGCAGGAAGGGGACCAACCCCAGCCTCTGGCTTCTCTGCTCTGGACTTTTGTACCTGTCCACGCCTTATCTTCTGATGGTTTACATTTACCAGACGGAAGCTCACTCCCATGTCAGAGTAGGGCAGGAAAAGCCAAGGGAGCTACCGGAAGGCTCTGCTGAACTTCAGTGGCACAGACCCCATGCCTGAGACTGTGCCAAGTGGACAGAGGGAAGGCCCGCCCTGTGGAGCAGACAAGGCTAGAGAGCAGTACTCACTGTCAGAGCCAGCATCACTTCCCTGTAGTTCCGGTTCCCACTGAGCCGCTTCTTCAGGGCCCGGATGGCATCCTTTGGCCTGGAGAAAAGAACAAGCATAGTAAGATCCTCCCAAGTCCCATTCTGGGGTACTATCCCACAGATTCACTTCCACATGCATCAACTAGCATATATACAAGGTTATTCACCACACCATGTTTGTAAATATACATGACTGGAAGCAAACCAAATGACCACCAATAGGAAATGAGTTCAATTACATCATGGCTCATCCACACAATGGAATACTAGGCAGCTGGGAAAAAGAATAAAGAAACTCCTTATACACTATTATGGACCAAACTTGAAGACATGTGCACAGGGGCTGGGGTTGTGGCTCAGAGGTAGAGTGCTCGCCTAGCACATGCGAGGTGCTGGGTTCGATCCTTAGCACCACATAAAAATAGATAAATAAAATAAAAGCATTGTATCCAACTACATCTAAAAAAATTTTTTTAAAAAGACGTGCACAAAGTTTTTTGTGGAACAGTACATAAGGTATGATGGTATTTGTTATAAAAGTACAGCAAAGATATATGCAGTACATGTCCAGGTCAAGAAGAGCGTCTCTTCAGGGCATGATAAGAACCTGGTAACAGTGGTTGCCCCCAAGAAGGGGAAATGGGTAGTGGAGGTAGCGGGGGATTTTTCATTGGAGTCACTTTTTGCAGACATTTTCAATTTTGTATCACAAAATACATGTTGTTTCCTCAAAATAGTAACTAACCCACTGGTGGATGGGGGCACTGAAAAGAGTTTTTCCAGACCACAAGAGAGATATGTCTAGATCTTTGCTGAAGCTTCCATTCCTTCTAGCTCCATGATGGAACTCCTTCTGCCATAGAAAACTCAGTGAGTCTCCTCAAAGCCCAAGGGTTTCTGGGATTTCAGGTTATAGATATGATGTGGATTCCCATGAGGAATTCTACAGAATCACAGGCAGTCCCAGTTTACAAATGGGCCATATTCTTTGTTCCTAAATTGATAGCTTTTTGATTTCTTTCTTAAATTACTGTTATAACTGAGGGTTGGGATCCTGAGGAGTCCTCCAAGCACACAAGGAAAGTTTGGCTTTAACATGTTATTTAACTTATTATTTCTTTCTTTTTCTTCTTCTTCTTTTCTTTTTTTTTTTTTGGTACCAGGGATTGAACTCAGGGGCACTCGACCACTGAGCCACATCCCCAGCCCTATTTTGTATTTTATTTAGAGATAAGGTTTCACTGAGTTGCTTAGCACCTCGCTTTCAGCTCTCCTGCCACAGCCTTCTGAACCGCTGGGTTACAGGCATGCACCACTGCGCCTGGATATTATTTAATTTATTCTAATCCAGGATTCAAGAAAGTTGTGGTTCTAAGAGCTGCCCCAGGCACAGAGCCCCTGCCTCCTGGAGCCCCATCACCCTGTGCTCTGGGGAGCCCCACCCAGCTGCAGGCCAGCCCTTTGCTATCACAAGCGGGCTCCTGACTCCCACTAAAAGATGTGTCACTGCACCTCCTTCTCTCCTAGGATGAGTGTTTGAGAGTCTGGGTCCTCCTACTTCTACAGTTCTAACATATTTGTACTCTATTTACCAAATGGAGATGTCCTTTCAAGTGTGTGTAAGGAAGTCAGGGGAGGGGAGGGTGGAAGCTTTGCCAATTGGCCTAATTCACAGGGAAAGACACAGTAAACAGCAAGGCTTCTGGAAAAAATTTAAATCCCCTGAACCTCCATTTCCCATTCCCAACTTGAAACATAGCTGCCCTATGGGAATTCTTGGCTCCTGAGTCAAAGACCTGATGGGATGGGAATGGGCCCTGGCCAAGTATGTTTGCTGTATGGCTGCAGTTTCCAAATGGGGATGCTGATTTCTGCAAATACGGGACTTGAGCAGTAGTTCTATGCTCTGATGGGCTGAGCTAGTGAAAGTCAGCAGTTATTGGCCAGGTGCACAGACTGATTTCCTCTCTCAAGGGCTCTGCCAATCCATGGTCAACCCAGACCCACAAGACCTGCAGCTGCCATCCCTCTCAGTGCAGTCTCTTTCCTCGCCTCCTGAACTTACATGGAGCAGAAAAAATGGACACAGCTTTCCCTCCAAGGGCAGCAAGCACTTGTGCTGGCAGAACCAGCTCTCAGGCAGTGGGGCAATCAAGACAGACAGCAGGCTCCCAGTTAGGTTTAAACTGAAAATTCATCCCCAGGCTGTGGGAAGTGCTGCCTGAGAGTGATTGGGTGAACACAAGAGCAAGTATTTATCTCTGTCCCCAGGGGAGAAGCTTCAGAGAGGAGCATCACAGTCAGGTCAGAGGAACTGCAAAGTCTCAAGGAACTGCTGCAGATTAGACAGCTAGAATCAGAAAACCAGGGCTGGGGTTGTGGCTCAGCGGTAGAGTGCTCGCCTAGCACATGTGAGGCCCTGGGTTTGATCCTCAGCACCACATAAAAATAAAATAAAGAACAACTAAAAAATAAAATATATATATTAATAAAAAGAAAGAAAGAAAACCAGAGAAGGCAAGATAAGCTGAGTCAAGGGCCCTGATGGAGCAGGCAGGAGAGATCAGGCAAGTATAAGAGGCATCAAACCTCAGGAGCACTCACTGGAAAGGCCAGGCCTGTCATGGTAGTCCCCTAGGTCCCCATGATCCCACCTCTGCAGCCCCCTCCCACCCTGGACTCCTGAGAGCCATGCTTTCCAGTCATACAGCAAGCTCATCACTGGTCCCCAGGGCCTGTAGACCATTGGGGCTTCAGTTCCAGACCTGCTCTTCTGAGAAGCCCTGCTCTTCTGAGAAGCATTCTCATTTCCCATTGCCCCTCCTCGATCACCCTGAAAAAACACACCCATACACACACACACACACACACACACACGCTCAGCCATGAACTCGCTCTGCTCCTTCTGTGTCCCTCCAGCGTAGAGGCTACAGTGCAGACAAAGACTCAGTGAACTGGGGAAGAGATGTCATGAAAATGACCCAGGTCAGCAGATCCTTATCAGAGTTTCAGACCAGTATTGCCTGGGGAGCAATTCCCAAATACACATGTGTGTCCTAATTAGGTAGGTCTCGGGCAAAGCCTGGTAAACAGGGTCTCAAACAGTCAGGCACTCATGGTTAATGAACACTGGATTGTCATACAAGGCCTCAGGCATCAGAGTTCCTCAGGTCAAAGGTGACCTCAGCCCTGGAAATTGAGGAGAGCCCAGAGAGAGGCCGGTGGGGCAGTTCACCAATATGCACCTGCCAGGACCTTAAAGGATAAGGAGCAAGTCCATCTACATAGCATGATGCTGTAGTCTGGATCTTGTATGTCCTCCAAGGCCCAATGGTGAAGTCCTGGACCCTAGCTTGTGGTGCTATTGGGAGGAGGTGGAACCTTTAGAAGGTAGGGTCTGGTGGGGGGAAATTAGGTCATTGGAGGTGCCCTTGAAGTGCATCTCGGGCACTTCCTATTCCTCTTTGCCTCCCAGCCACCATGAAGGGAGCCGCTTCCTCTGCTACATGCATTCTTGCCATATGTACTGCCTCATCACAGGCCCCAAAGCAAAAAGCCAACAAACCATGAACTAAAACCTCTCAAAATTTTAAAACTATGAGCTAAACTAAGGCATTTCTCTCTTTTTTTTTTTAAAGTCAATCATCTCAGGTATTTTGTCACAGTAATGAAAAGCTGACTAACATAGGAATGTGGACCTAGTCATGTAGACAGATCTTTCATGTATACTTATTCCTTTAATCCTTATAACAACCCTATGAGATAAGGTACTGTTAGTAACCCCAGCCTATAAACAGCAAGACTGACTGAGACACAGGGAGATGTAACGTCTCCCGAGGTCATACAACAAGTGAACAGTGACCTAGGTTTCCAGTCCAGGCAGATGGCTTCAGGCTTCACACTGTTAATCCATCCACCACATTATGCTTCCTATGTCTGCTGCACACACTGCTCTGCAGCCTGGGGATTCCACTCCCCGCCTCCCACGGCCTACCCCGTCTTCCACCTGCCTCTCCTAGAAGGTGCCCTGGTACCCTAGAAGACTCCACTTGAGCGTTACCTCCTCCTCCAAGAAGGCTTTGCTGTTGACAGCCTCCAGGCTGGCTGGTGGCTACTGCATTAGTCTGTCTCCACAGCCATATTGATCTTCTTTCTCTCTCTCTCTGCCCTTGTCATGCTGTGTTATGATTATGTTTACATGCCTGCATCCCTCATAAGACTGTGAGCGCCTGAGGGACTTTATTCATTTATTCCCTTTATTCCTCAACAAATATTTACTGAGAGCAGATCATGTGATGCTGTTTTTAGGATTAGGGCTAACCTAGTGATAAAAGAGATGGAATTCCTGCCCTCGTGGAGCCTACAGACTAGCAGGGGTTGTGGCACAAGACAGACACTGATCTCACACTGATGCATAAGTTTAAACTGGGATGAACATAAGTATAATATCAGGTACTATGGAATCACCTAACAGAGGACTTGTCCAAATTGGAGGGAAGGGGGCCAGTGCCAGTGAAGCAAGGTTTGAGCCCAGATCCTGTGAGTGTTGGGAACCATTTAGAGAAAATGGCCAGCTGGGGAAAACAAGGAACAATAGTCAGAAGATCTCCAGAGAGGACCAAGAGAGAATGGGTGGGCACCTCCCATCAGCCCCGTGTTTTTTTTTTTCCTCCCACTTGGGAAGGGACTTCAGACAACAATCTCATAATTGAGGTAAGATGAAAAATCCTCTCTCACTCAAACATGCACCAGCAGGAGCCTGGGCCACCAGAGGGAATGGGTGTCCGGACCTTCTGTGAGCTTCAGCTTGAGTTAGCAAGCACCAGCTCAGCCCCTTTGGAAAGGTTTCTGCTCCTGCCTTCAAGCCACATACTATTTGTGCAATTCACTGAGAAAGGAGAGTTGTGGACATATTTGTATGATGTTCATATTGTGGAGAATTTTAAACTGGGGATAGGAATGCAGAGAATTCAAGGAGCTGAAAGATCAGTGGGGCTGAAGGGCCTGGAGTGGAGCTGCAGAGAGGCGTGGCTGAGGGTTTTCACCCTAAGAGCCTGAGAAGTCCCTGAGACTTGTTGGCAACAGGTGGCTTGCCAAGATCTGAGGCAGGGTCTAGATGGGAGGGAAAAGGGTGAAAGCAGATGCCCAGAAGAACAGAGCAAAAGAGAAAAGGACACACCTGACCTGGACCTCCTTTCCAGCCTGATTCCAGATGTTCCTTCTTTGCCTCGTGCATCCAAGACCATAAGTGTATCTTTCAACTCACTGACCCTTTGTATGCCACCCTGAGCTACAGAGCACACTTTTTTCATCCTGTCAATCTTAAGCCCCAGACTAAAGCCTCCTCCAGGACACCTCTGCACCTGCCTCTCTTTCAGACCCATGGCATTGGGCACAGGCCTTGGCCACAGTCCCAACAGTGCTCCTAGGTAAGCCCTCGAAGACAGGCTGGCACATCCCCTTTGGCATCTTGGAGGACTAACCCTCCACCTGTAGGGGCTAAACACAGCTGGAGATCTGGATAGATGAATAAATAAGTGGCAACTGAAAGGGATGCAAGGAATAAAGGAACCCAGAGTTCCTGCCCCTGCCCTCAAGCTACATAGGTATTTGTGCAATTCACCAGAAAAAGAAGAGCTTTGAAAGTCTGAAGGAAGGCAGCCAGGCTGTTTCTAGTGATTACGGTATTAGAGAAGGGCCAGTGCAGGCCACTGCCCCCAACTCCAGAGTCACCTGTGCAGTCACCCTGTAGCATCTCTCCTGGGAGCTGAGCTGGTAGCAGACCCCTCAAGTCTGTTCCATCTCAGAACATGGCAGTTCCATCCTGTGCCTCTGCAGGCTCCAACCTTGGGAGTTATTTTTGACTCTTTCTCACATCTCACACCAGCAAATTCCATTGGCCCTATCTTCTAAATCTATACAGAATCTAATAACTCCGTACTCTCTCCCCTACTACTACCCTCCTCAAGCTCACCCACACCAGGATGACTGTAAGAACCTACCTGGTTTGTCTGCTTCTGGCCTTGGCCTGCCTCCAGCCAGGCCATTCTGAACACAGTGGACAGGGCAATCTCTTTAATATGGAAATCCGAACATGCCTCTTCCTGATCAAACATCCCTGTGAGTTCCCTCTCACCAAAAGCTGAAGCTACCTTAGTGCCTACGCAGCCCTGCACTTCTGGATGCCCTTCATATCCTTGACATCATTTTGGGCCTTTACTATAGAGCCACTTACTATTCTTCAAACACACCAGATACACTCTGCCTAGGATTTTTGGACTTGCTGTTCCCTCTGCCTGGATAGTTCTTCCTTGGTATAATCCTCACTCCCTCATCTCCTTCAAGACTTTGTTCAAGGTCACCTTCTTGGTGAGATTTCCTTGATTACTATTTAAAATTGCCAATTCCCAGCCTTCTCTATCCTTGCTCCCTCCTGTCCCCATCTGTGTTTTAATTATCTTCTTCACAGCCCACCTTCCCACTCTAGACTAGCAGCTCCTCGAGGGCAGGGAAGGAGTTTGACTTGTTTACTGCTATGCTGCTTCTACTTAGAACAGGACCTGGCACAAGGTAGTCATGTCACATATATCTGCTGAATGAAAGCAGGTCCAACCTTCTGAAGTTAAGTAATTGGCCATTTTATATATGGAGGGATAGTAAGTTAACTACCAAGATTCACAGGTTTGCCTGGGTCCCAACTTTTTCTTGCACAGTCAGGACCCAGCAGTCAGAAGTCCTCAAGTAAGGGTCAGGAAGCATATGGGCACCCTACCATCAGCCCAACTTGTGGGGTTTTTCTGCTGCTTGGGAAGGGACTTAGCCATCTTATAGTGGAGAAGAGCATGGAAAAATCCTCAAGAATCACCTGGGAATAGAAGAAGGCATAGTGACTGTAAATAAAGGGCTTATAGTGTGGAACTGGGATAAACACAGAGTAGTTTGGAAGAAGTACAAATAGAGTGGACTTTAAAGTAGAAGGAGATAACACAAGGAACAGTAAGAACAAACAGATCCAGGAGTGCACGAGCACAAGAGGGGCAAGTCATGGGTTAAGTCACCCATGCCAGAAACACTCAGTTGCTCTGTGCCATGAGTGCCCCTTGCTCATTCCCTGCCTTGTCTGACCACACTCTGGATCGCCTTCTGTGACTCCTGGGTCTCTTGACCAACAAACCAGGGCAGAGATAGCCCCACATTTGCCAAGGGATTGCAGAGGCTGAGAGGAGGGCAGGAAAGGTAAAGATTTGGTAATAGAGATGAACAGCCGCTAGGGACTGGGTAACCAAGCAGTTTAATTTCCACTTATGATTCAAAGCAGGTGATTACCAGGTTGGGGGAGGAGGGACAGAAACAGATGGGAAAAAAAAAAAAAAACAATCAATGGCTTATCAATGAACAGACTAAAACAAAACTGGAAGTCGAACCCACCATCCTTGAGCCCTGACCAGCTCTGAGTGACCCCAGAGAGTGGAGGGAGGCTTTGGGGGGGGGGCGGTTGGCAGGGACACATACCCTTCTTCCGTCTCATTGATGATGTCACAGATCTCCATGTTCAATGTCCAGTCCTCACTCTGCAGGGAGCCATCAGTTGCCTTTTCTGTGAAATCATAGAGAACACTATTTTACATTTCTCCTGGAATAAGGAGACCCAGGAAGGAAATGAGAGATGAGACCAGAACCACACATTCTCTGCCCAAGCAGATAGGCTGAGCCGATGGATCCAATCTGAGGGTGCTGCTTTCATGAAAGAACACTCATGATTTAATTTCCACTTATGATTCAAAGCATCATAAATGGGCCTGGGGGCCAGGGTCATGACAAGGCCCTTCATTCTCTAAATTCCAGACCAGAAAGCTCCAGCCTGAGCCATCACAAATCACCCAACACACAAGCATGTCAAGTATATGCACCTACAGGTTCAGCAGCCAAACCATCTGGGTTTGAATATAGGCCCCATCATTTACTAGTTATGTAACCCTGGGCAAATTACATGCCAAAACTACAGTACCTACCCCCACAGAATTGTTAGAACATTAAATGGGTTAATATATGTGAAATACAACATGACAGTCAGTCAGTCCTCTATAGGTACTTGTTATCACAATGACTAAAGATCAACTGCTGTAGTTAAAAACCACATTTTAGGGGCTAAGGCTCAGTGGTAGAGTACTCGCTTAGCATGTGTGAGGCACTGGGTTCGATCCTCAGCACCATGTAAATGTGAAAATAAAGATATTGAGTCCACCTAAAACTAAAAAATAAAATTAAAAAAAAACACATTTCAGAAAAGAAGGTGGAAGAAGGGAGCATCATTTGGTAGGCTGCTTATTAGGTTTGTTATCATGGTTTGGATCTTAGATGTCCCCCAAAAGCCCATATGTTAAAAGCGTGGCTGCCAATCTGTGGTACTACTGGGAGATGGTGGAACCTTTGGAAAGTGAGGCCTAGTAGATGAAAGTTGGGTCGCTGCGGGTGTGCCCTTAAGGAGATACGGGGACCCCAGCCTTTCCTTTCTTTGCTCTACCATGTGCTTCTCATCTACACAGTCAACCAACATGAACTAAAATCTCTGAAACTAGGCGCCAAAGGAAATCTTTCTTCCTTATAAGCTGTTTTCCTCAGGTATTTGTCACAGTGACAGAAAGCGAACACACACAGTATGTTACATGTTTTATTTCATAAAACGTATATTGTTTTATTTCATCCACAAAACAATCTTCTGACCATTCAATGGAGAAAGGACAATCCTTTCAACAAATGATGCTGAAAAAAATTGGCTCTCCACACACAATAGAATGAGGTTGGACCTTTATCTTATACTTAACTCCAAATGAATTAAAGATGTAAACATAAGAGTGAAAACTATAAAAGTCATTGTGACATTAGATTTAACAATGATTCAAGGGATATAATGTTAAAGGCAAAAGAAAAAAAAAAGAAAAATTGAACTGCATCAAAATTTAAAACTTCCGCCAGGTGTGATGGTGCACACCCGTAAGCTCAGCAAGTCAGAAGGCTGAGGTCAGCCTTGGAAACTTAGTGAGATTCTGTCTCAAAATAAAAAATAAAAAGTACCAGGATATAGTTCAGCATCTCTGGGTTCGATCCCCAGAAACCAACAAATCAACCAATCAACAAAAACTTCTGTGAATTAAAGTACACTATCAACAGAGTAAAAAAGCAACCTATGGAATGGGAGAAAAATCTTTGCAAATCATATATATCATAAAAGGCAAATATTCTGAATATACAAAGAAATCCTACAACTTAAAAACCAAAACCCACCCAATTAAAAAATGGGGGAAAGAGGGCTGGGGTTGTGGCTCAGTGGTAGAGTGCTTGCCTAGCATGTGTGAGGCACTGGGCTTGATTCTCAGCACCACATATTAAAAACAAACAAACAAACAAACAAAAAACAGATAAGTGAAATAAAGTTCCATCAACAACTAAAAAAAATTTTTTGAAATAAAATGGGGGAAAGAACCCCAAAGTTGTACGTTATGTATATTTTTCAATTTAAAAAAAATCACCATCGCTTCTCAGCCTTTTGGCTAAGATCAAGTGCAAAAAAAATCACCAAAAAAAGAAAGAATATACATAGACATTTCTCCAAAGAAGATATACAAATGGGTCACATATAATTAAAAGATATTGCAACATCACTAAACATTCAGGAAATGCAAATCAAAATGCAAATCATCTTACACTCATTAAGATGGCTACTATAAAAAAGCAATAAGTGTTGGTGAAGATGTGGAGAAACTGGAACCTCCCTGTACTGTTGACAAGAATGTAAAACAGGGTGGTCACTATGGAAAACAGTATGTGGGGTCCTCGAAACATTAGACACAAACTTACCATAAGATCCATTAGGTCTTTTGAGTGTATACTCAAAAGAGTGGAAAGCAGGGATACTTGTATACCCATGTTCATAGCAGCGTTATTCATAATGGCCAGAAAGTAGAAACCATCCAGCTGTCCATTCACAGGTAAATGGATTTTTAAAAACATAGTCTATTCATACAATAGACTATTATTCAGCCTTAAAAAGGATGAACTTCTAACACATGCTAAAACATAGCTGAGCTGCTGGGCGTGGTATTGTAGGTACCTGTAATCTCAGTGACTTGGGAGGCTGAGGCAGGAGGATCACAAATTCGAGGCCAGCTTGGGCAACTGAGTGAGACCCTCAGCAATTTAGCCATACACCTGGGTTCCATGCCAGCACCAACAGAACAAAACAAGAACTTTGAGGACATTATGCTGAGAGCTGAGTAGAATAAATAAGTCAGCCACAAAAGGCCAAATACTCTCTGATTCCATGCCTGTGCGGTCTCCGGAGTGGTCACAGTCACAGAGACAGAAAACAGATCAACGCTTGTCAGGGGCTGAGGGAAGGGGAAAGTGGGGAGTCAGTGTTTAAGGGGGATAGTTTCATTTTGGGAAGATGAGAGTGTTCTGAAAATGAATGGTGGTAATGGCTGCACAAGGATGTGAATGTACTCAGCACCATAGCACTGTGTGCTGAAAAATGGTGAAAATGAAAAAGCTGTACGTTATGTATATTTTTAATTAAAAAAATCACCAAAAAAAGAAAGAATATACATAGGCTAACAGACTTTTGGGTTGGAAGAAACAAGGAAGTGGGAATCAGAGAAAATTCAGGCCTGTTGCCTCATTTGACAGGAAACCTAAGACTCAGAGAAGAAATGGGGATCAGCCTAGGAGCTCAGGATCAGAACCAGAATGAGGGCCCCACCAGCTGTGAGCTCCATTAGCAGGGGGACTAAGTCAGACTCGCCTCCCTCCTGTGTGCTCCAGTGTCTAGCACTTGGTAACTGCACAATCTGCTGGTGTCCGAGGAAGGACTGAGTTAACATTCCTTCCCCCAAGTCAGTGGTTTTCAGCCCTGGCTGTACAAGAGACCTGCCTGAGGAGCTTCCGGGACACACATGACCCAGAGGTTTGGATTTAATTGGCATAGGAGGGGGTAGGTATCAATATTTTTAGAAAGTTTCCTGAGTGATTATGACATGCTGCCAAGATTAAGGACCACTGTTCCACATCATGCCCTCCCTGTGCTCTCTCCAGCTGGGCAGTGAGAGGCAGAGCCTTGGTAGTTTCCTCTGGGAGAGCACAATCTCTGGCTGGGTTCTCACTGGCTTATCTCATCATCCTGCCTGCTCTGTATCTGTCACAGCACAGCAGGGTGATATTCACTGCCTCAACAGCTCGTTGGTACAGGTACCAGAGCACCCAGAATACTGTGGTTGTCCTGTTATAGCCCTGAGCTGGAATGCCTCATGCCTGCCTGCCAATCTGCCTCCCTCATCACACTGACCACTGAAGGCAGGGTCTTATCCATCTCCCTCTCCCCAGTTCCAAGGATGCCAAGTGCTACATTGCAGAGCTTTGTCAATCTCTAGTAAATGGTATTGGGACCATGTGGCTTTACTTTGCCTTAAAGTTATGTAAAGAGCTGCCTTGGAGGAGTCTGCAGGCTAGTTAGATGGCACTCTGGGTACCTTCCACTGGTCCTGTTATCTTCCTCTTAAGATGGGTGAGGGAGGGTGGTGACAGCTGTTATAGAAAAGGACATCCTATAAGGCAGGGATGAGAACTTGAAATTCATTCTCTTGTCTCTCCAGAGGAAGGGGAACATCCACAATTAACATTCACAAAGCATATTTGAAATCTGAAGCAAGAGGCAATAATGGATCTGTGTAGAATGTTGGGATTGATTTTTCTTTCCACCTGGTTTGTAGAGGCCAATTTGCCTCACTAGCAGATAGTAATCCAGAAGGCTCATTTCATACTATTGGGCATACTACCCAATGAGCTCCCTACCCACTGAAACCTCTTTTTTTCTTTCTCCACACCTGGCCTGGAGCATCCCTGAATGCCATTCCCTGGTGCTGGCACCTCTGGGCTCCTATCCACAATCAATTGTTAGGGAGGTAGAGGATTTGACTGTTCCCCCCCCCCCCAACCAAAAGCATGCTGCTGAATGCAAAATGCTAATACCACCCTCTTTTGCCTTCTGGTGCTGGCTGTTTCTGAAGTCACTATATTTAACATCAAAGTGTTTAAAAAAAAAAAAAAGCACTAGCCAAGAAACCAAGCCCAGTGGATTGGGAGGCTCCTCCCAGCAGGGATGTCTTAGGAGGGTGCATGGGAGGGGCTGCTGGGCAGGAGCACTATCACTGCTGTCAGGGTCAAGGTTTCAGGGCATCATGGCAGGTCCTACACCATGCAGGAGGTGGCTTTTCCTGAACAGAGAAAATGCCATGGCAACAGCAACTAGATAATATGCTACTCTGGCACTGAAGGTTTAATGGAAGCTATATCCGATTGCCCCAGCCCTGCCCAGCCCAGTCCTGCATCGCCCCTGGCCATTAGCATTTCACCAGAGAGCTCAGCATTTTGCAACCAGGGTCACTGGTGTCTTAATCTTTACCCACCCCACAGAACAGGAGGTAGGAATGGCTTGCCCCATGCTCCCTGGAGTATTGTTTTTGCTGTTTTACTATGCTTTATTTTAGGATTTGACAACATATGTGACAAAAGAAATGAGATTGAACTTTGCTTTCCTCTGGC